TGGCACCTCTACTGGTTGTTCCCTTTTGCCCCCCTATAGTCAGGGCAATAGGGGACAATGTGGTCGGGGTCCCCACATTTGAGGCATTGGTCTGCTTTTTTTTTTTCCGCCCAAACCTTTTATGTGATTCCCAAATCTTTCCAAGGCTCTCCTTCGGGTAGGCCTGGATGTGGTGGGTATGGCTTGTCCCACTTATTGTACCACGTGCCTCTTCCTCTACCCCAGGTGGAATAAGAACCACGGCCACCTTGCGAGGGACCATTTCCCCTTCCTCCCACGTAGTGGCTTCCGTCGCCACCACCCCTCTGGGTGCCGAATCCTCGTCCACCACGGCCGCGACCTCTTCCTCGGCAACGCCCTCTTCCTTAATGCCCTCCCCCGCGGGCTGCAACAGCCRCGTAACTCCCCTCCTGAGCTACCGGTCTGTTGGGTTCATCGAGACCATAGTCTACCTAATCCCAGGAGATGGTCTCGGCGCCTCCTTCCTCAAAGGTTAGAAGGAGACTGTCCTTCCCAGGTATGGACCCTGAGATAGTGCGGTTTTGCCATCTTTTACTCGCTTGCAGATCCTTCCAGTAATGGCAATAGTTCGCTTCGGCGAGGAAGCCGGCATGGTCTATCGCGATCTTGCTGAACTTCTCATATGTCATCCCCTCTTCGTTGGTGCGGGGATAGAGTTGTGTTCTCAGGGGATCCGGAAGTGCTGTGCAAAACTGTTTAAGATTTGAGCCGGCGTTAATTCATGATCAGGGCATTGCAATAATTCATCCATAGTTGCCTTCAATGCAGAGGTACTTTTCCATTTCCTATCAGGAAGGCTGAGGATCAACATCTCCGTACGTCGTGCTAAATTCTTATCCTCGAATCTTTCTCTTACGACTTTGAGGAAATCTTCGATTCGGGTTTGTTGCGAATACTCCACCATAGAGTTGCATCCCGCCTCCTTTTGCAGCGAGATGGCGAAGCTCATGGCGTCGCCTCCCATGCATGAAGTTGCCATCAATACCCTGTCCCAGTATGGAATCTGTCCATACACATATGTTTCGATTGCTGCCGCCCAATGCAGAACACTTTCCTCCTTCTTTCCATTATAGGTCCACCGCAGTTTAAGCTTTATCTTGCTAACCTGCCCGGTTTCCTGAGGGAGTTTTTCTTTTGGATCCCCCCTTCTTTTACCCTTCTTCTCGTCATCGCCATCGTCATCACCATCTCCTCCTCCGCCTCCAGCGCCCTTTACTATCTTTTCTATGACTTCGGGAGTGAAAGTCTTAGTGACATGTTTTATCCAAGGCCCGGATGTAAGTGTGGACATGCTGGTCAACGTCCTTTGCTGACTTTTCCAAGAAGTTATTCCAGACATTTTCGAATTCAACCCGATGTGTTTCCACTCTTTGTATGGTTTGACGCATTAAAGCCATATCCTGCCTTGTGTTGAGGACAGTTTCTCTGAGGAGAGCAAGCTGTTCTTCTGTTGTAGAGGGTTATCTTTTTGGGCTTCTAAAGCCTTCTGCAATTTTCCCCTTCTACCTGCAACCTTTTTCTTTCTTCCACTTCTTGCCTTCTAGCTGCTAGTTTTCTATTGTTCATCTCAGCCCTCTTTTCCTCCATTAATAGATTCCGTTCGATTGGGTCTGTCACAGTGGCCAGCTTTGTGATGAACGTATTTTTTTCTTCTTCAGTTTCCCTTAGCGGCTCGCTGGAGTAATAGTACTGACCGACCCAATCCAGTGGTTCAACTAGAAGTCTGGCCGCTGCAGTATTGCTACTCTCAGGGAGGTCCAGGCGACGACGTCTTTCCAAAACTTCTCCTTCTTCCTGTTCTTCTTCTTCTTCTTCTTCTTCTTCTTCTTCTTCTCGGATACTCCTCAGCCCTTCTTCCAATTCCTTATCCATCTTCTCTTTCATTTTCCTCTTTGCTTCTTCTTCTTTTTGTTTCTTCTTGGCTTCCTTTTCCTTCTTCTTCTCTGCCAGCCTGCGGTCAATTTCTGCTTGCTCCGCAGGTGTAGGCCCAAGCTTTACTCTTCCGGACTTCAATAACATGCGGGACGTACAGACGCGTCCGAATCCCAACGGGAACATTAGCCGGAATATTGGGCCCAATAGGACAGAAAGGGCCAACAGGCCCTGGATGGGATAGTCATCCATGATGACTACCGGCACAGGAGACCCTCCGCCGGATCACCAAGGTACTATTCCACTTACAGACTCAATTCCTGATCTGCGGTGAATGGAGTACTGTACTTTTTTTATTTTTGATTGTAGAAGGTGCTGCATAGATCAAACAATAGATCAAACTAAAACAAAATGACTGTTTAGGTGTGTATACTCTTTCTTTTTCTTTTGATATGCTGTCTGGCTCCCTTGGTTCAGGCTTTTTGGCAATGTGATTCTAATGTCTTGTTTCCATTGATATATGACTTTTTTTTTTTTTTTTCCCTTTCTTTATACTAACTCACGGGTTGTCCGATGCAGGTATGGAGTACAGCGCAGAAGATCAGATTCAAATGGTTTACTTATCCAACCAGGCAGGAATACTTCGTTCAAATGTTTCTTTCCGTTGGGCTCAACAGGCCCTGTAGATGCTCAATATCATTCTAACGCTGCCTGGTACTTGCAATCGGATGTGGCAGATAGCCACTTCCCACATGACAGTACTCAGTCTGCTTATCGAGAGGGGTAGGAGAGAAGTCTACTCCTACTCACAGAACACTTGACCACCTAATCTAGTGTGACCAGGCCCGGACACATCGCACTTAGGCCCGGACACATCGCACTTGGACCATCCAGACTCTAGGACGACCCAGATCCAGACTTCGACTCCAGACCAGCAGCAGTCACCTTCAGAGGGTCAGAGAGAGAGAAGGTAGGGGACACACACATACATGCAGGTTCATGGAAAGGAGGTGCTTCTCTCTTCGTGAAGATACCGCCAATGATGCTCCACGACGTTCCGCACGCTCGAGGTAAGTAGACTTTATGTTGCATACTGTAACGTGCAGACCAGAACAAGAACCRACCCTTCAATACAAAGTACAAGATAACACAGCGGAAGACTTAGATACCAGTGATCCGAACAATCAATGTTGTAATGCAGCCCTGAACATACATCATCATCATCGTTYCATAGTGTGAATGGGTCGGGCGCTTCACACAGGAAGATAGGGCCAGCCCATAACATACACAGACGAAGAGGAAGGGGATAGACGAAGAGGAGGGGGAAGATGGGAATGTCGT